AAAACATTTAAAAAACAGTTTTAATAATATTTAATATTTAAATCGTTTTTATTCTTTATGTAATTTTAGGCAGGATGACCCATACCAAAAAGGTCATCATATTTGGGGGTCCTTGGCATCAAAAAGTTGGAGATTGTGGAATCCAGTTGAGAGGTGAGTTAGGCAGGCGGAGAAAGTCTGTACAATGGTTAACTGAAAGGAACCATTCTTTTATTCGGCAATTAACCCCATCTAGGTAAATAATACGGTGTCGTGGAATGGATATACATCGCTCCTACGCACAGCGCTCAGAACCCGAGAGTGCTTCAAAAAGACCCGCGATACAAAATGATGACAAGATGCACCATACACCGCCTTTCATGAAGAATATTACGTAGAGAATAGTGTGTCATTGTACAGTAGAGAGAGTAAGGAGAGGGAGAGAGAGAGAGAAAGGGATTGTGAGGTCTTGAGCTCCTGTGATAGTACAGATAACATGTCTGGATGCACTTATCGGCCCAGAAACCTGATCTTATTATTTTAAATTCTGAGACTCAGGCACTTATAAACGGACATGGAGAGAGAGAAAGAGAAAAAGGGGAGAGAAAAAAGACCTCTAAGTGTGACAGTGATTTTGTGGGGGTTGGAGACGGAGGTGGGGGGACAGGGGTGTTTGGTTGTTCTGGGAGCTTCACTGCATTGTGGTTCGTCTCTCTCTCTCTCTGTCTCTCTCTCTCTCTCTCTCTCACTCACTCATATGCTCGAAACGATATGCAGATATGTTCATCCTGCTTTCTCATGACCCAAGCCCCCCCCCCCTTAGGACACACATAGACACACATCCCAGCTATCAGTCGCTGACTTAGAGGAGCTGTAATTACTGTCGATCAAGCGCTCCTTAGCTTCTTAGTGGAATGGTGGAGAATCTGATATGGCAAATGTGAGAGTCGTCGAGCGAGGGGCTGGTGGCGGAGAGGGGCCCGGGACCGGACCTGATCTCCCCACTGCGACAGGCTCATCAGCCTCCAGCTAAACAGCTCTGGGGGTCTTTTTTTTTCCCACCGGCCATCCAACTGACCCTTCCACCTACCCCCGGCAAAGGGCAAGATCCTGAGGGTAGAAAGCAGACACACCCCCGTTTAACTTTATAATATTAATACATATTGAATTATTTTATAAACAATAATCTAAAGAACGTTTCCTGTTTGTTTGTTCCATTCAAGGTGTAATGAAGTCATCATTGATCCAGTGTCCTCTGAAGCACTCAAAACAAACAGACGGGGAATCTCTCGAGTCTGGCCTGGTGAAGGCATCTCACCTGGGGCAAGGGTCTTTTCAGTCTTTCCCAACACTAGGACACTGGGCTTTATCTGTTTTTTTTTTCTCCACTCATCCATCACTTTTACTCATTTACTAACAAATGAAGCTTCACTTTTATGCCCCCCATTTGCAGGTCATTATGAAGCACCTTAATTATGCAACTCTGCAACTCTGAAAATGCTTGGATTATAATTTAAGGGTATTAAATGCTCAGGCATTTAAAGATTATAAATTATATTTATAAGAGACTATTTACACTATGGAAACACAATTAGCATGATGAAAATATTGAGTTAAAGTTCTCTTAAAGAGAATTAGCTTATGTGAATTTGAAGGTAATTTAATATTTTTTAAATATTTTTAAAATCTTTTTGCACTTTGAAACGCTAACATTTGGGTTCAGTAAGTTTAAAATAAATATTTTTTAACAAAATATTTCTATTTCAAATAAATGCTGTTCTTTTAATCTACTTATTTATCAGAGAATCCTGAAAAATTAGTACCATGATTAAAAAATAAATAAAAAAATATTAAATGAAAAGTTGAAATGAAAAATGCTTTTAAAAAATGTGTGGGGCTTTTTTCCTTTTGGGGTATATGTTTGTTTCACAATCTAAATCTACAGTATATTTGCATTTTCCCAACAAACATACATCGTTTAAACTGACAAAAGGAAAGATTGATTTATGGACCAATGTAAATGCATGAGTAATGTAAACCATTTAATAATAATGAGTTTTTTCTGTGAAGAAAAATCTTTACACCAGGCCTAGGCTGTTGAAGTAAACAAGTCACACGAAAATGTTAGGAAAACCGCCATGTAAATTTTCAGCTGCAAGTCTCCGCATATCTGCCTGTCAGCACACTGCAGTCCATAATTGCACATTCTGTTTATTTCCATTTTGTTGTAACACATTCCTTAAAAACAAACATCCACGGAGAGGAAAAAATGTACAAGTACCAATGATTTGTGCAATATTTCTTCTAAATTGCAAAAGCAACAGGCCAGCACGAGCTTTTGCAAAATTACATTTCTTCGGCGTAAGCCATAAAAATGCCAAAGCGTATAAACATCCTCTGGTGGATTTAAAAGAAATGTTTAAACGTTCAATAATATTACACTACTATGATCTACACTGTCTGAGGCCAATGTTTGTTATTTAATCTACGATTAGATCCAGGCGAAATGGCTCGCCTTCATAAATTCTGCACCAGTTTGCCCTTCTGTGAAGATATTATACAAAATACCTCGACTGCAATCTGCTTTAATAATTGGTTACGTTTCCATCTCTGGTTTGTATCAGACCTGGCTCTCCTTGGGTTCTCAATAAAGTGCAGTTTTTTGCCCCGTGATGGCAAGTACCCAAAGCACCTGAGCGTTTAGATGTCCTGTAGTATAGTTTATTGTATAAACATAGAAGGCCTTCGAGAGCCAGCCATGGTCAATGGACCCAAGCGATATGCCCAATAGAGTGCCCAACAGACTGTGTCATCTATACCCCTACAATCAAAAACAAACACTGTTGTTGCTTCTCTGCCACAACTGGGATGGTGGGGACGATGGGGGTGGAGTGTACGCTGAGGTCAAGTGAAATGTGCTCTTATCCCCGGCTCTATTTATTTCTTCTACAATCTGGCTCTTAAAAGACGTGAACTGTCTGACCGGGGGAAATAGGGGTTAGACGTTTTCCATTTCTTTTTGTTGCGCTCTGGGATCTGGGATGCTATTCCAATTCTGCTTCTGTGAAGACCTTCATTTTGGATTTCTTGTCGGGGCTTGTTTAACGCGTCCCAAAGATGTGTTTGATGTCGACTGTGCTAGCGGGACTGAGATCATTGAGAAAGTAAAGTACTGATAGAGTTTTAAAGGTTTTTCCGGCTCTTAATTGTCTTTTGATACAGTTCATTTCCAGGCTATTGTTCACCGATCACCCTCTCTTCTAATCCAGCTACGTCTAATTAAGGACATGCATGTGTCTGCAAGTCAGATACTTCAAGCATTTAGTTTGTGGTCTTGTTTTTGAAGGTGATAATTTTCAGACCGCTGAAACGTCAGCAGATCATCCTTGCTTTGAGTAATGAAACGACAGCCAATCAGTCACACCGCACTTTCAACAGGAGTCCCTACTAGTTGCCTTCGTGTTAACACTGCCCCTATTAATCATTAAAGAAACCAATTCACACCACCGCCGTAAGAAGCTCACTCATCCACATCCCATTAGAAACCACAGGCAGAGAAAACCAGCTCTCCTGTCCCACGCTTTAATGAAAGTCCAGTTTCCCTTGCCTAAAGGTAACTTGGTGAGTTGATGGTATCTGCCCGAACAATTACACTGTCACAATCAAAGGAAACAGACTTTAAATAGTCTGTCAAGTCCCATCGGGGGCTAATAACTACTCATTTCTCTCCCAGCGTGTCAGCGGGGCCCTGAATCCTCCCTTTGTTCTCTAGATCACCTGCCACTAAATAGGTAGCTTGTCCTCACACTTCAAGTGCTTAGATGTCAGAGGCGAAACCCCCATGCCCCTAGGGTGAAGAGGGCTCAGGGGTGATATCCACAGTGCCGAACTTAGTGAATCTTCTCGCTCAAGTCTCCCGCTTCTCGGGTCGTTGGGTTTTCGGTTTCTTTTGGACCATTGCCTAATGATGACAAGACTATGCTAACAGACATTAAGTTGAATTGTTGTGGTGTAACTAACTGAAAAAAGCTTATTTTGTCATATTTACAGTTGATACGACACTTAACATTAAACAATAGACCTTTTTTGCCATTTAGCTTAGCTGTTTCCAAAAAGTGTAGCTTGTGCCTTATTTAGTAGCGGTATAGTGTGACAAAATGCTAAATTGCTGTCTCATTCAGCCAGGAAAACGGAGACTTCAGACATGCTCTCATGTTAACTGTATATCGTTAAGAAGTAATTTTAGTTAATCACAGTTCATAACCTAAATCAACTGAATCAGATGTTCAAAATGAATAAAATATTTCCTAAAATTTTGTTCTTCACTATTCGCCCTCCACTACTTTTTGATGTTTTCTAGTTGTATTAAGCATATAATAAGCAAACTATCTTTGTTCAAGTTAATGCTAACATGCTAATTTTAATTTGGTGAAAATAACCCAAACTGACATTGAATCAGCGTGGAAATATGACATCGAAACAACGTTGATCTGACATTGTTTTGCTCATCGAATTAACGTTGAACCAACGTCAGACGCGTCATTCTTTCAAAACTAACGGAAAATCAACTTGAAATCAACGCGTTGTTTCAACGTTATGAAAGCAAACCAATTTTCGATTTTCATTTAGCTTTGAAGAGTGCCGCGTCTGACGTTGGTTCAACGTTAATTCGATGAGCAAAATCAACGTTGTTTCAATGTCACGAGAGACGTCGTTTCCACGTTGATTCAATGTCAGTTTGCTGTCTGGGAAATTATACTAAATATTTCAAAACATATAAATATTAACATATAAACATATTCCAAAAATACTTTCCCCCTTTAAAAGCTTCAATGTATTGAGCTATTAGCTTGCGATTAGCGATTAGCTTGACAGATAAACTTAGCTCGTAGCTTTCCAACACCATTGAGTTGTTTCTGTAATGATAACAGCTCTTATTTTCTCTCTGACAAGACTGTTATTTATGTCTTTCCTTATACTTTGTGTTTCTGTGTTTCTTGAGTAACTGAGTTTGTAAACAGGTGACACTGCTTGATGCTAATCTGTCTAATTTATAGCCCTATTGTGCATCCTCTCTGGAAGACATACTGTAGAGTTCAGTTTAATGCTCTCACAGTTCACCTTCCCAAAAGGTAAATACATGTTTCATGTTTTAGATCAATTAACAGGCTAATAGCTAAGGGGAAGATACAGAAGAAAGAAGGCATCCCAGAGTATCTTTTTCCCCTCCGAGTTTAATGATTTGCCTGTAGCCTGGACATTTGGCATGCGTGGAATGTTTGTCTCCACATCCAGACCCATTGTGTCGGAGGAAGAGAAAACTAGAGGAAAAGATCTACGTGCCTTTCTCAGGATGGGTGTTTGTCCATTTTGAAGCTGATCAATGAATGAAAGAAGATGATTGTTTCAAAGCATCCCGAAGGTCCTGCGTAAACCCAAAGCAGCAGCTGGTTTCACTTTACCTGCTTTCTCGATGCACAGAACCCCACCGTAATAGGTACAATTTCTAAAAGTTATTTTTCTTTCAGAAAATGCCTGTTTCTCTTGTGCTCTCTCTCCCATTCTGTCCCTGGGACACCCCATTCATTCATTTTTTATTAAACTTCAGCACTCCCTGTGCTCATTTCCGTTCCCAGGTCCGTTCCTGTGGTTTTAGTGGTGGAGTAGAGGGATCGCATAGGGCTCTTCTCACAGACTGACATGGCGACTGGAACAGCTAAACCTGGAGCTGGAATCTACACTGAAGGGGTTTTGGAGGTTGGTTAGAGGCCAAGGGCTTGAACTTTGGGCATAAGTCACCTGTTATTCAAAGAAACAATTCACACATTTAATAAAAATACAAAACAGGCTTAGACAGATGCTCTGTTCCAAAAACCTAGTGAGCTCCCCAAGGAGGGAGTATTTTAACACATCATAAATTTGTTCCTGATGCAACCCGTTTGAAAAAGTAGCTAACTTAATTATGCGGTCTCCTAAGTTACCCAAGAAAGCAGCATCACATGCACCATCCGTAGAAAGTGTGATCACTGCAATGCACTTTGTGATAAAGTAAATGCAAAATGGTGGATGAAGTGAGAGAAATTAACTTGGCAGTCTTCTTGAAATTGGAGTAAACTTGATGGGTTTTGAAACAGAGCTGACTTAAAGAAAGTCTGGTGTTCAGGTATTTTAAATTATCAAGCAATGCACACTATTGCTCAAAAGCAAGGATTCAGCAAGGACGCATTCATTTTTTGTCTAAAGTGTAAAGAATGTTTCAAAGCAAATGAACTGTTTTAATCAACATTGAAACTATAAGAAATGTTTCTTGAGAAGCAAATCAGCAAATAATGATTTCTGAAGGATCATGTGACACTGACTGGAGAAATGACTGTTGAAAATTCAGTTTTGCCATCACAGGAATTTTTAATCAAATAAATGCACCTTGGTAAGATTTTGATTGTCTTCTTTTTTTTTCTTTTACCGCAGATTTAAGACTTTAATATCATTGAAATTGTATCAAACTCACTAGACAACACTTTTTATGCTCAGTGTGAACTCAGTGGCTAGGTGATAAATAAAATTCACCATATTTACAATGATTTTGCTGGTGATTTATGCATCTTTGTAGACACTGCAATGATATTACTACCATTTAACTTCCTAAAGACAATGTCAAATTATGTGGTCGATAGTTTTAATAGTTTCTTTGAATTCAATTTAGGTAACAAAAGGCAGTTTGATTCATTCCCGAGAATCAGTTCAATTAGGGAATTGATTCAAATAAAACCATTTGCATCATCACTCAACTCAACTGTTTTCAGAAATCCTTCCAGAAACTTTATCAAAAGTATGAGCATGCCATTGCAAGCAATGCAGGTTGCATTACGTTTCTTTAGTTGTCCATTTCGTATTTTCAAATTGTTTGACATCTAGAGGTAACATCATTTAATGCATTGGCTAAGCTAATCCTCCTGTTGGCTAATTGGTTTAAATCTCTATTTACTTTTCTGTCACTTTGAGCCTTCATGTGTTATAGTGGGAGTAGGAATAGGGAGCCCCCAGGACATACAGCGTGAAAGATTATTCATCATGTAACAACAGTAAACTTCCTTCTCGCCTGCAGATGCCAAGCTGTTCTCCTAATGAGATGCATACCAGCACTGAAGCCTGTGAGACAGATTGGGCCTCCTGCTAGTCCGTTCCACCTCGGTCAGAGACCTTCCACTGCCCTGCAGGCAATGCAGCCACAGCTTCACTCTCTTCCCATCATGCTCCACTGCTGCTTACCTTGTGCTCCGCCTACATCACTCATGCACATCCTCACAGGTCTGTTAACCCCATACAGACTTAGGCGAGACGTTCTGGAGGAATTTATTGTGGATTTTGGGAATCAAGAACTGGTTCTTATTCAAAACTGGTTCCATTCATGATGTTGATGTGATTCACCTTTTAATGCATGAATGTTTCGTCAATCTTTATTACATATTCGGGTCTTTAGCTACCCGAATCTATATCTAACATGCATAGATCTCCACCTGTCGTGAATCGCAATAGTATAAAACTCTCCTCATATTAGAATTAAAAATAAAATAAAGCATATTTTGTTACCTTTTGAAGCTTGGAAGTGTTCAGTTTGAGAAGGTGTGTTATACCATCACTGCTGTCCTCGTCAGAACTCATTTCCCCCAGAACATTAAGCATCTGGCTCATGTCCGTGATCTCAACCATATTCTCAAAACATCTTCAATTATTTTGATCGCTGACAGCTTCTTCATCAGATCCACAAACAATATATTTATATTAAATATCACATATATTTTAGTACTTGCTCTGCAGTAAATCGCTGACAATGAGCATTTTCAAGTTATGCTGATGATACGTCCTATTCTTTTGTTTCCTGCCTGCAGTAACTATAAGTGAAACGTCACTTCATCATTGTGTATCAGACATTGCCATCTTGAGGAATAAAGGAGAATTGCACTTATTCAGTCATCAAATATTCAATTATTGCCATGCAGAAAAAATATTCTCACACTTACACACCCAGGGTTGTTAGCGACCTTATACCCCTTTTTACAAAAAATGTATGGGAAAACAGGCATTCTTTTATAATTGTGTTATTTTTTTTCTTGTTATATTTTTTATAATGAATTTACTGAGGAATACTGAGAAGGCTGATGGATAACTTTAAAAAATAAATGAGGAGGAGGGCGTATGAATGATGGCCCGGGTCACTAAACACATGAGGTATGCGTTTAAGGGTAAACGGTTCTCAAACATCACCATTTCTCTTCTACTGTCTCAATGCTGACAAAACGCTAAACATTCAGCTAGTGCAGTCTGATTGGAGACCAGATGAGCATATTGTTTTAATTAAATTGGTCAAAAAGACTCTCATGACTAGTTTTATTAATTGACGTATTAGTTTAAGTCGATTAGTTTGAATCATTCTAATGAGTCACTCAAACACTGAATAATTATTTGATCGTGAGAAGTGTTGTTTTGGGATTATTTCTATGTAGTTATTATTAGGCTATTTAATAATTATTTGAATTTGCTTTTATTTTCACTTTCTCAAATTTCTTTTAAATTTCAGTTTTGGTCATTTTTTATGTGCTTTTGTCACTTTTAATAGTTTTTTTATATTTCTTCATTATTTTATTTCACTTTTAATTTGAGTAATTTCAGTACTTCAGGTTAAACTTTAAACGTTAATACATTTTCTAACTTAAGTTTTTCATCTAAGCCTTATTTCAATTACTAAAAGCTATTTTTAATAGTTTTAGTTAACAATAACACTGTTTGTGAGGCTTAAATCAATGTAATATGAACTGATTGGTATGACTTACATTTTTTTTTAATTTTTGTTCCATATTTAGACAAATGATTGCTTCCACAAAAGTACTAAAGGAAGTGTTATTACAATTATTGAGGAACCAAATTGAGGAGTCGTTTGGTGAAGTAACAATCTGAACTAGATTTCCATCCCTTGTGAATCTGAATGGTCCTTTCATTCTGAAAAAGATCTTCCTGTGCTTCGAATGTACAGCATGATGAGTTGGAAACATTGGTTCAGTGTTGTACTGGTTCAGATCGTTCAAATTGTTTAATTGATTATGAAATGCCAGTTTTAGCTGTGACCCAGTTTTGTGGTTATGTGTGCATTTACAAATGCCCACTTTTGTGGGGTATTGATTTCCACAACCTTAGTCACTAGGGAAAAACAGCTGCTGGAAATTCAAGACTGCTTGTAACTTTCTTCAGAACATGACATTTAAAAGAAAACATTCTAGAAAAGACCACATGAGAACAACCGCTAAATTCTGGCTTTGCGCGTGACCTCTCGCTGGCTTGAAAAGCACACTCTCTGACTTTCCACTGGCCTGGTAATGATATGTCAATATCACAAGTCATGTACAGTTGTATCGCATGTGGAAATCATAGTTTATACCTATTCATTCCCATTTTGAACGAATCTCTTTAATGTGGATTGTTCAAGATCCACTTTACCGCTCTTGCAAAGTTGCAAAGTTCCCTCTCTTTTGTCAAGACTAAGAAGTCTGTCTGTTGAAGTTAAAGGTCGGATTTCATCCTTCGTTTCATTGGATTTGAAATGACAAATGCACCGAATGGCAACGCTCCAGAAACGATCCTTATCCAATCGCACAAACCCTACAGTGACTGTCTATTCTGATGGTTTTCGACTTTATTTTCTTTGAAGACTTAACCCAAACACAAGCTTTCATTTATTTTCCTTCCCGAGGAGTGTACACTTTGGGATATTGTCTGGCTTGCTGATTGTTTTGAGAGGAGCTTCATTGTGTGAAATCTTTCCCTTGCCTAAAACAACAGAATGTGGGAAAAGGTGGTGGTGGGGGGAGTTTGCCCACTCTTGCCTTTCTTGATTTCCATCCAAGTTTGCTGCAGTTAATGTGGTTACAGGCAGGGCCTGGCCAGTTTTCTCTCCCACTGAGCTCTATCGAACTGTGCATTATTTTTTTCCCCACTTCAATTTCATATGTCACAGCATCAGGGGGTGGGAATGAATGATATTTACAGGTATGAACTATATTTTCTCACCATGGAGCAGCAGTGTATATATACGCATCCCACAAGGGTTACATTCCCTTAAAAGTAATTGTTTTCTAAAATCATTTGTTTTAGTACTGCACATGCTAACATTGCACAATTTAGAGTAAATTACATTGCACAAGTTGTCCGTACATTGTTTTGATATTGCAAGATTTTAGGTTGACAAGGTGAAACATAATGATTGCACAGACGCTTCTACTTTGTAATTGTGCTGCTTAAATTTTAAAGGGGCCACGACATGCTTTTTTAAATTATTTTAATATTATTTGATCCTTGAGGTTCAATTCAATTTTTTTTTATCAAATAAAAACACACACACACAAAAAAAACAAATATGGAGAAAAACGATTATTTTTAATCTTCATTCTGACCCTCTGTCTAAAATCTGTTTTTACGGGGCGGCTCCTTTAAGGCTTGTCAGTAAACAGCCACTGTTATGATTGGCTGACGACATTACATAGGAAACTGTATCAAGGCCGAAACATTATCCATATAAAACTGCTTCATCTTTCAACAAAAGTTTCTTTAAAGAGAAACTTTAAAGAAAGTGATGAAGGAGATGGCGTATGCAGAGGGGTGGCAGGCGGAGAAACATCTGCTCGGTTTTTAACAAAAAGGAAACGTTCAAATCGCTTAAAACAGACGCGATAGCTGATTCGAACGAGTGATGTTCGACGGCGGCATCCATCGTTGTAATGCAGGCTCCAAAATATGCAGCGCTTCAAAATCCCAGCGCTGTCGTCATTATGTAAAGCCCGCCCCAACGTTTCTGATTGGTGCTGCGATTTCGACGGATTGGAAGTGAGCTTGAATGAGCTCTTTGCCAGACTAACTTTCAGAGCAAATCTAAATTTGCCGGAAGTTGTCTGGGTTTTTCCAAACTAAATGAAGATAACTTTGAATGATAATTATATTAACATCACTGAGTGAACGTTCATATCTTTGACTGAAGCTAGGATGTTAGTTCAGTGAAGATTTCATTTTAACTGGGAAGTCCTGGTCTGATGATTTGTTAAACTTGGACACTAGTTCGATAATTATTTTTTTCAGGAACAACTCCCTGACTGACTAATATGATATTCTCCAAAAATCTAAATTATTTGGCTTTGGAGAACATATGCTTCCATGTCATTTAATCACATTGGACATTTTGTGAAAAGGCCTTTAAACTGTTTTTGAAGTCAGTGGATGTAAGGTTGATCCCTTTGGGGTTTCCTCCCTTCTTCACCCCTCAGTTTTGCTCTTGTTCAGTGTACTTTCCAAATATGTTTGTTTTCGTTCACCCCTGCCACAGCACAAGCAATGGATTGTCTGTCAAGGGTGGGAAAAGGTCTGAATCTTCTCACTCCAGACATCGACCCAGGTCAGATCCTAACAGTTCTTCTCCGTCCAGAGCAACAAAAAAAAAATGTTCCAAATTTTGTGGAGGAGTCAGGAATGTGTGTCATGTGTTAAATGGCTGAGGCTGCACTCCTGAATTTAAAAATGAATTATCTCTGGGAACGAGAATACATTTCTGCTGGTGGCTCTCTGTCTCACACTAAACCAGTTCAATGATGTTCAACAGATACAATTACAGAAAAAAAAGAAAACACAACTTATGAAATTGTGCCTGCTCACGGTCTGCCTCAAGCAAGCCCAGCGCTGTTCACAGCCCAGCTTCTGATTAATTGTGCAGCTTTGGATTTGTGAGAGTCCGACTGTTTTTCCAGATGATGTTAGTGTTACTGGGAGAGAGAAAGAGTGAAATGGAACAAAAAAATGAGAAAGACAATGGCTATGTTTCGAGTATACACTTCATAATACTACTACTGTGACCAGTAAATAGCCTACATTTGTTGTGATAATTTGCCAAACTCTTTAGTACAGAACCATTTAGCAGTGGTGGACAGTAGGCCTACCTCAGTATTTTTACTTGCTTTATGTAGGCCTTAAAGGAGTCGTTCACTGTTAAAAAAAACTTTTGCTGATAATTTACTCATCCCCATGTCATCCAAGATATCCATGTCTTTCTTTCTTCAGTCGAAAAGAAGGTTTTTGATGAAAACATTCCAGGATTTTTCTCCATATAATTGACTTTACTGGTAACCAAATGATTCAAGGTCCAAAAGACAGACATCTTGGATGACATAGGGGTGAGTAAATTATCAGCAAAAGTTTTTAAAAAGTGAACTACTCCTTTAAGTCTGCCACATTTTCTGTAGGCCTATCAAGGCTATCAGACTTTTCTTTATCAATAGGCTAGTATTTTTTATTTTGGGCTACTTTTACTTCACTAAATTCCAAAGCTTTTTACTGCACTACATTTCTTTAAAAAAAATAAAATAAACAGTATATCATTCCTCGTTATTTTGATCTAAATAAATCGTCACCCACTCAGAGACACGGTAGCGGTGTCCGATTCGTGAACAAGCAGATTCTTCAAAGTTCAAACTGTTCAATCGGTTCCCAAATCGCACTGAACGAATCATTCGTAACTTGGACTGATTCGATTGGAGCTTTTCTCGAGTCAACAACTCACTGATTCAAATGATCAATTCCGAGCGAGTCTCCAATTAACAATTCACTGATGAGTTCACAAGTCTGACTGATAATGAATGAGCTTAGAATGGGAGATCTTCTTTGGAGCTTAAGTGCGTGGGCGACGGATGGAGCGAAAAGTAAGTTAGGCCTAATGCCGAAATTTATGATTTATAATTGTAAATGAAAATCATATTTGAGTCACGACTGTCAGTTGTTTGTGAACTAAATCTTCTGTAACAAGGTAAGCTGTATGAAATGCTTGAAGGTGGATGTCCACTGTATATTACTGTCTGAACAGGGTTTGAGGTAGGCCTAGCCTAAAACGAAACATTAAACCATTAAAATAACGCAAATTAATGTCCATCCGTAACAGTTTCAAATCATATAAAACTAATATGGATATAGGGTTCTGCTTAAAATGCCAAGAAATTTTGCCTTATGTGATGTATGGTTTTATTGTATGTTTATATCAACATACAGAAAACACATCTTGTTTTTGCTAGCTTTTGTTTTTCCTGTTTTGGTGTCACGTGACAATGTTTGTTCACAGAGTTCGCAAATAATAATCAAACATGCTCTCCTAAATTAGACATTTATGAGTCTCTTCCATGGCTGCATTTATTTGCTCAAAAATACGGTGATATTGAAATAGGATGTTATATTCAATATTAAAAAAGAACTGGCTTCTATTTTAATATATTGTAAAAGGGATTTTATTCGAGGTGGCAAAGCTGAATTTAAGCACCATAACGCCAGTTTTCAATGTTGTTCAACAATTTATTAATTCTTTATTGTCACTTTTGATCAATTTAATGTTCTTGCTGAATAAAAGTATTTATAAAATAAATAAATAAATAAATAAATAAAAAACTGGCTACTGACCCCAAACTTTTGACCAGTATGATTTGAATACCATTTTATTGTGAATCCTCCACTTCAGACTATTTGTTGCAATGCTGTTGCTCATTAGCTACTATGTTTTTGATAAATTTGTAAAAAAAAAAAAAAAATGATATGCACAATATAGGCGTTTTTATTGTTGTTCTTGTGTTTACTCTAAATATATTTATTTAAAAAGATATTATCCCCATTTAATTACTTCAATCTAGTTATCAATAGTGTTGCTAACTACTTTTTCAGGTTAGCAAGCTAGTTCAGTTTTCATTTATTTATTCATGTATTTATTTTCAAATGCAGTGTATGAAGCATGCGCATATTCCATTTGAACATAGCCAGAACAAAGTTATTAATCCACTCGTTGGTTATTACGGCGATGAATTCCTCCCCGTAACTGTGCCCTGAACAATTTATGTACAACTAAATCAACGGTCATTAATTCCAGTTTACCGTTTAATTGCATTCAGCTGTAGCGTGTCATGTTTTGATGAAGGGGGAAGCATGCTTGGAAATTGGAATATCCCCTCTTTCACTCACACTCGTTCAGAAGAATGAAGGTACAGCAGGTGTGTGGTGTGGTGTTGTGTTCATCTCTCCAGGGGCTCCCTCTGCCTCATACTTTCCACCCCATACTGGAATTTTACTAAACGCGTCTGCACATTACGCTGCTGTGTTATCGCTTCAGAGGCATCCCTAACTGTCTTTGACACATAACATTTGGGAAAAAATGCACAGAAAACACGATGAAAGTAAGAGCAGTGTTAGCGTTCATCTGTGCGGATGTGTTTGTGTAAGAACCCGCACCGTGGCTGCATAAAGCTTAGGTTAATTTTGTGAAACTGTAAAAAATCAACTGCTTTCACAAGAGTCAAATTCAATCTCGGACGGGGCTCTGAGATGTTAAAGAAATCTTGCGGCCCCAGACCTCACAATGAGGGATCTATTACACCGACTACCAAATAAATGTTCTTTTAATTAGCCACATTTATCTTTTTTTCTATGTTTTGACAGAATTTCTTGCGTAAACATACAGCACAAAGAGAGACAGACACACAAAGCATGCTCATTTTTATGTTTGACAGAGCCACCCGGAACAAAAACAAAGGTGACCTTGCTGTGCCGTTTCAGACCGTAATGGGTCGCTCTGTTTCGTTTGTGAGGTCATATCAGCAGCACCTGCAAGGACAGTAAGTACATAATAACAGATTAAACAGATGAATCTGAAAGAAAATAGAGTTTGTGTTCATGTGTGTTCACCCAAAAATGAAAATTCTGTCATTATTTTCTCACCCTTGTGACAGAAAGATTCTTCATTTGTGTTCCGAAGATACATGAAACTCATACGGGTTTGAAGCAACATGAGGGTGAGTAATTAATGACAGAATTTTCGTTTTTGGGTAAAGTAACATTGAGGGCATCTCAGTGCTATTGTATTTCTAAACATAGGGTAATTTTATTGTTTGTTTGTTTTTTAGGGAAATAATATAGATACTGATGATGTGACAGTCTTGTTCTGTTTTGGTTTTGTTTATCATGTTTGCCTGTTTGAGTTTTCCTTGCTAGTTTGTGTCCATGGTTGCTAATTATGTTGCACACCTGTTCTGTTATCACTGTAACTCTCAGATTTCTTAGTTCTGGGTTAGGTGTCATCTATGCTTTACATGGTTGTTTTCTCATTTTAACATTTCATCGTATGATCAGCATGACATGGCTCATCCTGAAATGCACAAATTTTGTGCAATCGAATGCTCTCTAGAATGAGATTTTTCCTCATCTCTTTGTGTGTTGTTTTGTTGAATTGGAACTATTTTGGCCTTGGTAATTGTTTAAATGTTGCATTTCTGTTGTTGCTTCCCATCAATCCTGACCACATGTTACTCATCTTATGACATGATTGTTAGTCATTTTGAACATAATTTAGAGCTTGGCATTTTTTTTTAAATATTATACAATATAATTGAAATATATTAAAACTAATAATGTTGTTAAAGCTGGCTCTGATGTCACATGACTTATTTTGTCACAGGAGTTGTGTTTGTATCATGGTCATGAGACCCATATTCTGTCCTGGATGGGTTCTCTATCCATCTGATTAGGCGCTCCTCCTATATTACGATTTTTTTTTTTCACAGTAACAAAGTGGAATAATAACTGGGGATTACACCTGTTTACACACATTATTTAGATATCTTTTGGTCGATCCGATCACAAGTGGTCGACGCTAAATACAGGCGTAAACGGGGTCTATCAGCAGACGTTTCGGGAGTCTCCCGCATGTTGATAACGGCTTCCTGATGCCCGCAAGTTAGTTAAAATCTCCATTCTCCCTGAATCTAGAGCGAGTGAGCAAGAGCGCGAATGCATGACAGAACCGACTGTGCTCCAAACCGTATAGTGCGCGCACGGCGGAGAGTGAGAGAGTGAGAGACTTTGCGTGTGTGTGCCTCATGACACAGAGACTCAGGCACCGAAATCAGGCACCGAAATTTTCATTCTTATTCGGTCTGGTTACTACCGTTTACGCCAGAACCGGTTCTGGTTCACCACATTTCGGTACCCAACCCTAATCAGTAATCAGCCTGTGAATCTCAACAATGGTGACAGTAATAACGCATGTTGCAGTGCATTCTGGGTGCTATATATTTTAGAGCCTTTGGAGTCTATAGTCGTGCGCGGGATGACGCAGATTCAAATTATCCGCTATTACTTTTCCGTTGCTTAGTCCCACCCACAAGTGCAGGATTTAAGGATCAGAATTAACAATTTTTTTTTACAGTGTTTCTTTGTTTTGTTTTTCCTGACAGTATTTTTCTGCTGACAGAAAATTGCTGGGTTTTTTACCTTTTTTTTTTTTTTTTTTTACAGTGCAGGTGTAATAAGGGCCACTGACACCATGATCAGGTTAACAGACGGGTTTTTGTGAACCGAATCAACTGATTCATTTGAAAAGTTATAACTCAAAGGAAAGATTTGATTATGAATGCTACTTAATCCACACACACTTACTCAAAAAAACGATTATATGGTTTCCGAATACTTGAAATATTTTGAACTTGATTAGACTGGTTATTTCAGTTTGAGATATGAGGAAAAAGTGATGGACAGAGACTGAGAGGAGAGAGAGAGAGAGTGTGTGTGCTCCTCCAAACACTTCTCATTTACAATGTACAGGTGTTGCTTCTGGAGTGTGGAATGGTGGTGAGGCCTGTGCCATTCTCTTAGCTGGCCGAGATGGCGTAATGGGAACTGCCAGCTGTGATGGTAATTACAGCACCACTGAAGAAGACGGGGGCTGTTTTTCTTTAGGGGGCTTGCAGCTGAACTGATTTTTCATTTACATGTTTTAAATAAGATGAAGGAGCTCCCCAAATGGGTTTGAGCCGTGCATTAGCAAGATTGGATACATGCTATTTTTCAAGTGTTGTTCTTTGTCACCAACTGATTGTTTTAGAGCACCTCCATGCTTGGATCCATTAAAGGAATGAGGTCTCGAGGAATGCTCAGGAAACGGATATAAATGCTCGCTACCTCGGCTCATACATTTCACAAGGGACGCATTGATTAGCCGATAAGGAAATGCTTTTTTGATTAGTCGATAAGGAAATGCTTTATTAGTGGTGTTTGCTAAGGCAAGTACCTCTGTGATGCGACCATAATTCATCTTGTGTCATTTGTGCTATAGACGTGAATAATACCTCAAATCATTTATTAAGGAGAGGTGTGTGATTACCTTTTTAAAGCAACGAAAGGCTGATTATTATTTGGAATAGGTTGGCCAGATACATTTTCTGCAAAATGTACACATGTGTCTAATTTTAAAGAAGCTTGGGATATGTATAAAATTACATTAGTCATTTGTTGTGTAGTGATCGACTGTAGATTGTATAATTTCATAGCCTGAAACTTGAAAACTGTATAGCCAGAAAGGTTAAGTTAAAACTGAAAGGATTACTCATTACACACAGAGTATGAGCTTAGAGGCTTCCAAAAGGATGATTAAGCACCATACAAGAATCATAAACATATTGTGAAAATAGCATAAATGATTTCTGCATTATATTCAAAGTCTTCTGAAACCATACAATGTTTGAGGAACAGATGAAAGTTCTTGATTTGTGAACAAGTTCACAAATTAATCTTTCAATCACTTCACTTCACAAAACTGAATGATTTGTTCATAAATCAAGCTAATCTGCTTCTCAGGTTTGAATCACTGACACCATGATAAAGGCACTGGATTTATGAACTGAATCAACCGATTCATTTAAAAAGATCTGACTCGAAAGATTTGGTCATGAACCTTCTAGTTCTCTTAAGAACTTTTGTGAACTTTCTTTTCCACTCTATTTCTCACACTAAACTATCATATGATTTCAGAAGAAGCATAAGTTGTATAGGCCATTTTATGATACTTTTTCACAGCCAGGATATTCTTCCAAAAACCTTTTGTGTTCCACTAAGTAAAGACAAACATATAGCTTTAAAATGTCATGAGAATGTGAATATGATGACACAATTTTCATTTTTGTATGAACTATCCCTTTAAGAGAGCACAGGTAATTGTGAAATAAGAAAGTTGCTTGGCTGTGACTTCTGAAACCTTTCAGTAATGGCATTAAGACTATGAACACTTCATCGGCCGCCGTGCCAAACTAGAGGAGGGGAGAGACCAAGAAGCTGAATGTATTGCAGATGGCACAGCTCTATTCTCTAACCAAACCATCTGGAGTTTACTTTAACTGATGACTTCATTATCAAACACAGGCTCTGTTGCCAAATACTACTTCTGACATGCTCACACACATGCTGACTGACACACAAGTCAATGTCGACAGACAGACACACACATTGTCATGATTCAGCGTATGGTACCCGTAATAATAGAGATGGGGGCACTGTGTGTGAGAGTGTGTTTTTCTGCGAGTATTGGATGAGACTATGGCATTGGAAATGGTTTAAGCTTTGTAATTTGATGACATAATAGTGTAAAACAGGCTTAAATGGCCTGACTTCTCACTCAAAGGTCACAGAGAGACCTCCGCTGACCCAGCCTCGTGAGTTTGTGCTTCAGCGTCAGAAGTAATGGTTTGACCTACTGTAATTTGTTTGGGAGGCCTCCTCTGAGACACCTGCAGGAACTGGGTGGGTGCGGGCAAAAGCTGCCAAGTTCTTGCCAATTAAATCATCATGGCACCAATTTTTCCAGCACATGCCCTTCCAGCACTGAAGTGTTGTGGTAATTGATGTTCATGACATCAGAACTGCGTATTTTTGTAACCCGTATTAGATTTGTTGTACATGTGGTTTTGGCTGATATATTTTTTCTCATACAGTGCAGCTACTGACTGAGAACTCTAAAGACCTGAATGAAACACAAAATCTATCTATCTGTCTGTCTGTCTGTCTTCCACCCATCCAATCCATTCATCCATCCATCCAATCCCATAACATCCATCCCATCCCATAACATCCATCCATAACATCCATCCCATCCCATAACATCCATCCATAACATCCATCCCATCCCATAACATCCATCCATAACATCAATCCCATCCCATAGCATCCATCCATAACATCCATCCCATCCCATAACATCCATCCATAACATCCATCCCATCCCATAACATCCATCCATCCCATAACATCCATCCAAAACATCAATCCCATCCCATAGCATCCATCCATAACATCCATCCCATCCCATAACATCCATCCATAACATCCATCCCATCCCATAACATCCATCCATCCCATAACATCCATCCCATCCCATAGCATCCATCCATAACATCCATCCCATCCCATAACATCCATCCCATTCCATAACATCCATCCAATCCCATAACATCCATCCAATTCCATAACATCCATCCATAACATCCATCCATAACATCCATAACATCCATCCATCACATCCATAACATCCATCCATACCATCCATCCATAACATCCATAATATCCCATCCATAACATCCAGCACATCCATCCCATCTCATAACATCCATCACATCCATCCCATCCATCCCATAACATCCGTAACATCCATCCCATAACATCCATCCCATAACATCCATCCCATCCATCCCATCGATAACATACCATACCATAACATCCATAACATCCATCCATCATCACCACAGATTTGCCCCTCTCTCATGCTTTAATACAGTTAAAAATTAAAGTCATGTTCCTAAAGATTGATCCAAACTGGGCTTATAAAATAAACACAAAGCATATCAGTAATGTTCGCATTGCGCCTACAAAGCCCAACTTTGTGATTTAGTACATTTTCATTGAGATTACGTTAATACATTATCGTGAGCGTAATTTAACGTTCTCCTCCACCATTGTGCTTCTTTTA